AAAAAAAAAAAAATAAGGAAAATTAATTGTGTACAAAATATTCAGTGAATTAATTTGGAGAGAAATGGATATAAGTATTATTCGCAAAAAGAATATTTTTCTTTCTTTAATTAAAATTTCTCTACAATATTTTTGATCATGTTTTCCCCTATATTCCTATATCATCCCCACCTGCATACCCACCCAACTTTATGGTAAAAAGCATATTTTAAAAATTCAGTTCATTTGGAAAATTACTAAAGAGTTGTTAGAGATATTTGAAAGTATAATAAAACAACCTAACAATGTATGTAGGCATAATACGAAAATATTTACTGGTAGAACCACTTTCTGAACTGTAGTAATTTTCATTTTTGATCTTCCCTGATATCCAATTCAAAGTCTAATTGTATAGAATTCATCTTGCTAATCAAATCACGCAATAAGAGTCAAACACTGATAATATTCCAACCACTCAACCCTAGATAGGCTTTGAATCATGGGTTCACAGCAGTCTCAAAGGAATCCATTCCTACCTGTAACCTTGACCTCTGCAATGTGTTCTTCATAGAATTTGCCATCTTTGAAGACACAGTGGTATGGCCCATCATCATCAGCAGTCACATTAAAGATCCTGAGGGTCACTTTTCCTTTCCCAATGTCATCTTTCAGGAGTTCAGTCCGCTCCACATACTTGGAGATAGTTTCTCCATGCAGGTCTTTACCATTCCTGTACAGGTGCACAGGTTGTGTATATCGGTTCCTGAACCACCGAATCTCCATGTGCTGAGCATTTTGTGGTGGGAACACCTGACAACTGAGTTCAAGGTTTCCACCCAGTGGAGCCAAGACTGGCCTAGTCAAGCCAGCCACTGTGAATTCTTCTGTGAAGGAGAATAACCAAAAGACAAGGGTGTGAATTAGTAACTGTGTTCACACCTTTTGTTGAAATCATTCTCTCTGCTAATCCCTCTTCTGTCTTCTCCCCCACTCTCTCAAGCATCCACATATACTTCAGGGAATGTCACTTTGTTTATCCTCAAGGCATTTTAATTACTAATTACTTAATTGATACTAAAGCAGAAAGTGTTACTACAAATATTTAGAGAAGATTTTAAGGAACTGTTGGAAGTGTTGAGCCACTTCAAGACAGGCTGGATTCAAGACAAATCAAGGCAGTGTGGAAGACTCAGTCAGGGAAAATTGCTACACGAGTAGGCCTTGTCATGTAGTGGAAATTTAGCTGAACTAGGGCTCCAGGGACATTAGGTAATCCTCAGCCTATGTGTCTTATCATACATGCACAAGGTTTGTAGATGAGAATGTGGCAGGCACTGCTGTCCTTTTGTGTTAAATAATTGTGATACAGATGAGGGAGCTGCCACAGCCATTGGACTGATGTGTTCATTAATGATCTTGGATTTTATGATATAGTCTTGATATTTCCATTTGCCCAGGTGTTCCTTATCCATGCTGATAACTTAATAGGTATTGTTTTCTTTATTTGTATGATTAAGCTATTTGTGATTTTATTTATTGTGATTCATACTGGGTTGGTAATGATAGTTAACTTGAACAAATGTATACAGTTATTCTGACTCATCAAGTGAACTCAAGATGTAACAAACTGCTGCACTGTAAAATTGAGTCACTCATCTCAGTCATCAGCTTGAAAATTACTGTTCCACATCATGTAGAGCAGAGCATTTCCTGAACTCTATAGTTAATAAAGATGAAAATTAGGTGAATATTATGAATCAAAAACCAGTAAGCTTTCAACCAACTATTAGAATAGCTGAAATCTAAACCATTGACAAGACAAATAATGGCAAAAGATGAAGACAACATGGCTATTAGTTTTTGTTGTTGTTGTTGTTGGTAGCAATGTAGAATGATTCAGACACTATTGAAGATAGTTTGACATTTTCTAACTGCTATATTTGGACTTACTATACTTTCTTTCCATTAGTCATGATTCTACATGTAGTTCAAATGAGTTGTAAAGTACATATACTGAAATTTATACACAATTGTTAGTATCTTTTTTATTTCCAGTTGCTAAAAAGTGGAAACAATCAAAATGCCCTTCAATAGGAGAATGAAGACACCAACTCTGGTACATTCATAAAATGAAATATTATGAATTAGTAGAAGAACTGTTTCAATAGTGACACAAATACTAAGGTAGTATTTAATCAATTTTGATGGGGTTTAAGGCCAACTCCATGATACAGAAACCATACCTGACATGCCTAAAGTGGACAAGAACCTGAGATCAGAAAGTCATGTCCCTTAGGGTAACACCTAATACTACTGTTCTGTGAAAGGAATGTAGTAATAAAATGACTCCTAATAACATACTTCTATACCCAGAGATCAGTGCCTAGCTCCAAACCTTATCAGAGAAGTTTCTTCTTACAGTAGATGGGAAATAATGTAAAGACCTACAACTGGATAATGTGCAGAGTTAGAAGATTTGGTGTACTCAATGCTAAATGAGATGTCTTCTTCAAACTCCTGTCCCTTAAGGTTAGGGGATCTATGCAGAAGAGGAGTCAGAAAAGAGCAAGAAGTGATGGATGAACACAAGGAAACAATTGTCTTTCAAACATAGCAGGACTGATTCACATAGGAATTCACAAACAATAGAAGCACACACAAAACCTCCACAGTTCTAGGGATGACAGAGTCCAAGCAGAGAGAGGGGGAAGTAGAAATGATGTCCCACCCCTAACAAGAGCTATCTGCAATTGATACCAACTGGCAAAGGAAAACTCAATTTTCTTTAATGCAATCTTGCTGGGTATATTAACCAAACTCCAGGGCAGGCCCCAATCCTAGGAGTAGTTGGCCAAGTCTAAACTGACTCGACAGAATTTTGGAGGACTTTTTGTTTTGTTTTCCTTTGTTATTGCATTTTTTCTTTTTGCCTTATGTGTCTTTTGCTTATTTGTTTTGATTTTTTGTTTTGTATTTCTTTTTTGTTTTGGCTTTGTAGCTTACATTTTTGTTCTTACTAAATAGAGAGCAAAATATTGAGAGTGGGAGGGACAGAAAGATATAAAAAGAAAAAAGCAAGAGTGAGAGTAAAAGAGAGAGAGAGACAGAAAGACACAGAGAGATTATAATGTTGAGTGGGTGAAGAAGATCTGGGAGGAACTGAGTGAGAAGCAAATATGACCAAAGCAGATTGTATTCAATTTTGTTTTCAAGAAATAATTTTTAAACAGGAATGAGTTGCATGGATGAAGCTCAATATTTTTAAGTGAAAAAATCAGTTTAAAATGGACATACCTTATATGATATGTAACATTCTAGAAGGCAGAGGCACAGCTCTGTAGCAGACCACCTGTTACAGAAGTGGGGAATCTATGCAAATCCAGATAACACTTGCAACTTTTCTCCACCACTGGATCTTGTCAGCCTCTCCTTCTAATCCATTTCCATTCCTCAGTGGCAGCTCCTAGTACCTAGAAACACTTTCTACCAAGGACCCCTATTGACCACACCTGGGAGGATTTCAGAAGAATTCTGAATACCCAACTCACAGCCACTGCTCTCTCCTAAGAGCCAGAGAGGACAATAGAATCCAAGGGATAGAAATCCACCCAATAAAGACAAAAAAGAGATCTCAGCATGTAGAATTACAATCATCCCAAACACAGATGTCTAGACGCCAGCACACACACACACACACACACACACACACACACACACACACACCAATACAATCTGTCTCCAGTAGATCCCAGAGACTCTTCTACATAGATAGGTCCTGAGAAATGTAGTATAGCTGAAGCACAAGTCTGTCCAAACAGGTATTATGAATATGTTCAAACTCTTCAAAGGGGGAAAATGAAGAAATCTATTAAAGAAATCTATGAAAACACACACAGTGCAATGAAATGAAGAAAACATTTCAAGACACTAAAGTGAAAATAGAATAAATATACACCTAAACTAAGGGAAAGCTGGAAGTGAAAAATTTAGGCACTTGAGCAATAACCTCAGAGGCAAAACTCACCAACAGAACACAAGAGATAAAAGAGAGAATCTTAGTCATTGAAGACAAGATAGAAGAAATGGATACCTAGATCAAATAAAATGTTGAATCTAATAAAATTTAGGCACAAAGGATCCATGAGATTTTGTGACATTATGGAAAATAATCAAATCTAAGAATAATAGCAAAAGAAGGAAAAGAAACCTATGTCAAAGGCATAGAAAATTTCCTTAACCTAAAGAAATAGATGTCTATCAAGCTACAAAGGCATACAGAACCCACAGTAGACTGGATACTACTACCACTACTACTACTACTACTACTACTACTACTACTACTACTACCAGCATAAATTATATAGTTACATATACAAATATGAAGGGTTGAAGTTAAAATGGTTTTTTTGGGATAATATGATGGTACAGATAAGTAAACTTAAAAATACAACCAGGAAACCCCTAGAGTTGATAAACACTTTTAGTAAAGTAGCTGGATACAAACTTAACTCACAAAAATTTGCAGGCCTCCTACATACAAATAACAAATGGACTGAGAAAGAAATTATGGAAACACCTTTCATGGTAGCCTCAAATTATATAAAATATCTTGTGGTAGCTCTAACTAAGAAAACGAAAAATAGTTAAATCTCAAAAATGTTAAGGCATTGAAGAAAGATACCAAAAACAGTATCAGAAGATGAAAAATCCAAATACATGGATTGGTAGGAAATGCACTTAAATTGGTCATCCTACCAAAAGCAACCTATAGATGCAATGAAATATCCAATGGAATTCCAAATCACTCAGCACAGAACTTGAAGGATAATTTTCAGGTATATGGAAATACAAATCCCAGGATAGCTAAAACACTGTTGAATAACAACAAAACTGTTAGAGGCAATACCACTTTCTACCTGAAATTGTACTACAAAGATATAGTAGCAAAAGCAGCAGCATACTGAAGCAAAACCAGACACTTTATCTTTGAAATCAAATTGAAGATACAGACATAAGTAGTTCACACACCTATGAACACCTTCTTATGAAAAAGAAGCCATAAAAATAAAAGACATCATGGTCCTGGTCAAATTGGATGGATGCTTGTAAAAAAATGAAAATAGATCCATAATTATCATTCAGCACAAAACTTAACTCTGAATGTATCAAGGATCTTAATATAAGTCCAGTAACATTGAGTCTTATAGAAGAGAAAGTGAAGAATAGTTTTAAATTCATTAGCACAGGAAATGTATTTCTGAACAGAATATCATGAGCACGGAGACTGAGAACAACAAATAAGAAATGGAACTTCATGAAACTGAAAGACTATGCACAGAAAAATGCAGTATCACTCAGACAAAGATTTTTACCTACTACACATTTGATAGAGGGCTATCCTCTAAAATATGTGAAGAATTAAAAAATCTAGACATCAAAAAACCAAATAACCCAACTAAAAAATGGTATAAAGATATCAACAGAGAATTCCCAGAGAGAACACCCAAATGACTGTGAAACACTTAAAGAATTGTTCACCACTTTTAGCCACCAGGGAAATGCAAATGAAAACATACTTTGAGATTTCATTGTACATCCTTTAGTTACACTTACCAATAAAACAAATGAATGACAGATCGTGCTGATGGTGTTGTGAAGTAAGAGTCACAAATATCCATTGCTAGTGGGAGTTCAAAATTGTACAGTCATGAAAGAAATCAGTCTGGCCTTTCTTGGGAAGCTGAGACTAGGTCTACCCAAAGATCTAGCTATTTTACTCTTGAGAATATACTCAAAGGATGCTTTATCCTAATATGGAGACACCCGACCAATCATATTAATTGTACCTCTATTCATAATATTCAAAACTTAAAAGCAGCCTAGATGTTTTTCAATGGATGAATGGATAAGTAAAATGTTGTAGATCTACAGCGTGGAGTATTATTATTCATCCATTTAAAAATATGAAATGAAGTTCACAGGTAAATGGATGGAGCTAGGAAAAAAAATTTCTGAGTGAGGTAATCCAGACCAAGAAAGACAGATATAGTATGTATTGACTTACATATGGATGTTAGCTTTAAGTCTTCAATAAGAAAGCTACAATCCACATAACCACAGAGGTTAGATACAAATTAAGGGGTTAGTGGAGAGAGATGGACTTCCCTAAGAAGGGAAAGTAAAATATGTTGCTATGGATTACAGGGATGTAATGGAAGGATCAATACAGGACAGGAAGAGGAAGGAAAGGGGAGGGAATACAAGGAGGGACAGACAAAACTGAGGCCCATTTCTGGGGCCATATGGAAACCCAGTACAGCAACTAAAGTTGCTTTATACATATATGAAGGCGATCCAAATGAAAGGGAGACAAAGTCACAAATGAATATCTTTCACCAAATGAAGCCTCCACTATGCAGAATGAGTCTAATCAGTGTGGATAACAAGTAAATGTGAATGAGTGAGATTTATCATTGGAAAATCAGCTTTTGCTAGAATATTCTACATCTTTTATATCATTCATTGTCTAAGTCTTTTCTTTTAAATGTCTTCAAGTAATTTGTATTTGTTTGTGCTTTGCACAGATGTTCCTACAAAGTCAAGTTCTCATTTTCCAAGTCTGTTTCATCTTCCCTCATCTTTCCTCCCTACTGTGATAACTCGGATGAATTTTAATATGTATCTGCAGCCTGTGCCAATTCCTCAATGTAAAAGTAATATGTAAGTCCTGTGCATTAAATAGGAATATTGAGTCCTCGAGGAAAGTATTCAATCTCTATCATTGTACTTTCTTCCTGGAAACTGAAACAAACTGAACTAAAGCATATTTGCTGATTAGACATAGTTAATTGTTCCTCTAATCTGAATACTCTTATAACTGTCTTCACTGCTACATTCAAACTTTAGGGACAATGATATAAATATCCTGTTCTTTGTAACATACCTTGATTTTTCTGGCATGTTTGACATTGCTAAGGCTCTTAAGGGCAAGTGAGAGAGTCATACCTGAACTCAGTGCCACCATCTGAAGGAGGTACAAGATAACACAGTGTGTGACAAGTACCCCTCTAGCTCGCATTATACCTGTGATGAAACATATTAATGAAAGTTTGGATTAGATTTATTTTTAGCTTTCCATTCAATTTCTAATATTTCTATAACCCTAATATTTTACCTTATGTGTGTGTATGACAGATATAAAAACTACCACATTTGACTCCTGGATCAAAGGCCAAAATACTAAGTAATTTATTTTAAGAAAAATCAAAATATTTATGATATATACTTGTTGAATTTTGAATGAACAAAGCATATACCATGTTTCACAATCTTTTTCTAAAATTATTTCATTTGTGTGTTTGTGTGTTTTACCTGCATATATGTATGTACTTGCATTCTTGGTGCCCACAGAGGTCAGCAGAGATTGTTTGATCTCCTGGAACTGTAGTTAAACATGTTTGTGACCACCATATGGATGCCAGAACTAAAGTTGGGTCCTTAGCAAGAGCAAAAATGTACTCTTAGTTACTGATCCATCTCTCCCTATGTCTTTCTATATTAACTATGTATAATGGATGTCATTAGGACATTTCTATATTCTATATATTAGGACATTTGTATTCACTATAATTGTCCTCTCTTGTGCACTTCCAGTCCTACTAACCTTCCTCTTTCCAACAACTTTCCTTTATAATATTATATTTTTTTAATTGTTATGATAATCCTTTGAGTTTAATTAGGATATTTTATAGGACAGTGGCAAAGGTTTGTTTACAGGGACATGGCTCACCAGTGGTCACACCACTGAAAAAGTGAATCTTTACCTCCTCAGCAATTATCAGCTTCCTATAAAACCTCAGAGTCAGATGAGGTATTTTTTAGTTACTCCTGTTTCCACAATGGCAAACAGCAGCACTAATCCTGTGCAGGTCTTATGCAGGTAATCATAGTTGTCCCACTAGAAATATTTCTCCTAGATAATTGTATTTTCATACTTTTTTTTTTTTGGTTTTTCGAGACAGGGTTTCTCTGTGTAGCTTTGGAGCCTATCCTGGCGCTCGCTCTGGAGACCAGGCTGGCCTCGAACTCAGAGATCCGCCTGCCTCTGCCTCCGAAGTGCTGGGATTAAAGGCGTGCAGCACCAACGCCTAGCTTTTCATACATTTTTAAAAGATCACATATCTCTCACTTTTTCATCTCCTTCCCTTTCCAGATTTTTAAAAAATTCTTTAAGTACTACTCATATTTACATATCGATCCCTCCTATTCCCTCGCTCTCCCATCCTCCCATGTTTCCCACCAACCCCCCCAACTCCTCCCCAGGGATAATGAGGCCCTTCCAGATTTTAATGGCAGTGATTCTGCTCTCTACTATGGCATCAACTTTTAAAAGTTATATTGTATGTGAAATAGAATTATATTATTTTCCCTCTCCCCTCACTCTATACAGCTTCTATCACATCACCACTCTCAAGCCATAGTCTTTATTTTTTTATTATTGTTACACACACATAAACACACACATGTACATATGAATATACATATTTACACAAATGTATATATGTATATATCAATGTTATTACATTGCGATATACAATAACAACTTATAAAAAATTAATAAAGACAATGTATTTGTGTATACACACATATATGTATATATAAATATATATAAACATAGCATACTGTGTCATTTTTTCTGGTTTGTGTGTATATGGTTTCAAGACTGACCACTGCATTGGACAACCAATAATGTTGCTCATTCCTGGGGCAGAACCTGATTCTTCTTCTCCCAAGAGTCATTAGTTTTCTGTATTTCCTTTACTAGGCATGAAACTCTTAGAAAGTTTCCCCTTTTCTGCTAACATGTCCATTAAATTCCATTTTACAGTATTGTTTATGAAACTATTCCTAGGAAATAAACATTAATTTCAATGTATGACTAAGAAGATGAAGTATTTATCTTTTTATGCTAGCCCATTTTAGAAATTGATTTTAAAAGACACATTGTAAAAACTCAACAGGAATATATTTCATGTTATGTCCCTTTATGACTTTGTGTATTATAAATAGATACAATAGAGAAGTTATTCTTGTTGAGAAGAACATGGGATGGGCACAAGTCTCATTTCATGAGGCCGAGAAATAATAGACATGGGAATATATTTTCTTTAGCCCTAATCAAACCACACTCTATAACTTGATCTCACTATCCACCATGATTCAATATTAAAGAGTCATTTTCAACTGATCCATTAAGAAAACTTGGTAGTTTTGTTCCCCCAGAAGGCACTAACTTTCCATCTTTCTGAACTCCAAGATACCAATCCTTAAATATACTTCTGTGTAAGTGTTTGTCACTTGTTTCTAGGAGGACAGCATTCCTCTCAGCAGGCACAAGGAAGAAGAAAAAGTAGAGAAATTAACTGTAAAGATAAAACCATAGCATAAAAACTTACAAATCCCCCTACATACCCAAGTCCGAAGATCACAAGTCAGTTCTGTTGTCCCTATGAAAGCATAAGTTGAGTCATCTGAGTTCCTGATAATGCTCTAGTAGTTTTACTGAAGCCACCAAGCATGCCAGAGTTAGATGGAGATAAGGTAAAAATAACTACCAATGCTCCCTTGCCTAATCTGAAAGTCTGGCACCAAGATTCTGCAAGACTGATACTTAGGTCTCTTTCCCAGGGAAGTACCTATAGGTCTGGTATACCAACCCACGAATGAAATCTTTGTTTAGCTCAGTGACTGCATCTGGTATTACTCAAACACTAGCAAGACTAGGGAAGAAGCTAAAAAAAAAAAAAAAAAAACCTGATCCGTACCTGTAGTTTACTGAGTGCCAAATGGAAAGCTATGATGAATGAACTTTGAATGCTGGATGTATACATAGAAAGGAGAGGGAATTGTAGAATCACAAATAACTGTCTTTAAGTTCAGAGGAAACATTCCATGAAACACCATTCACTTAGTGATAAATGATAATAACCTTGAAGCAAAACAACCAGTTAGTCCAGTTAAACAAGAGAGGACAGTAATTTTCCAGGCTGACAGAGTAACTCTATCTCAAAGACATGGGAGCAGTCAATTCAAAATACTCATGCAATTTGCAATAGCTACTGGGAGAAAGGATTGTGAGCTTCAGAAAGAAATAAGGGAAGTTATGAAAATTTAGGAATCATGTATGACTTATACTTAAGTGTGTGTTTATATATGTGCAGTCATCTTTTAATAAATACATGTATGTATTAACATTTAACATACATACCACAAATAAGTGTAGACAAGCTATATATGTAAATGTACATAGAAACTTATGTGCACATACTTAAAAATATTGTAGATATTTCTATGTGTATGTGAACATACGTATAAAAGTAAATTTCACCAAATATGTAAGTATGTTTCCAACAAATAATCATATAACTCTTGGTAAATTTATCATGCATGTGTAAGTGATTATAAATGCAAACATATAAATTATTTGAATATATTTTGTTAGTTCTTTGAGATTTTTTTGTAAAAAGTAGTTTGATCATATTCACCCCCAGTTCTTCCCAGATCCATTGCCCTTCCTCACCCAATCAACTTTATGTCCTTTATCTAAAAAGAAAACAATGTTTTTATTCCTGTGATAAAACACCATGACCAAAATCAACATGGGAGGAATAGTTTATTTCAGTTACAATTCAGGTCACACTCCATCAGTGATAAAAAAAAAAAAAAAAAAAAAAAAAAAAAAAAAAACAACCACCACCCAAGTCCAAAAACCTGGAGGCAGGAACTAAAGCAGACACATTGGAGGGAAAACTGCTTCCTGAATTTCTCCTAATGGCATGTTCAGCTAGATTTCTTACCACATACCCAGGGTTGTAACAACGCAGAATGTTCTATCACATAAATAACTAACCATGACAGTACCACACGGTCTTGTCTACAGACCAATCTTATGAACACATTTTTTCAGTTATGTTTTTTGCTTCCATGATATGTCTTGGTTTGTATTAAGTTTGTAATTTCTAACCAATACACCAAATTAAGACAAATTTGGGCTATTTAATATTTTTGGATGCAAGTTCTTCCACCCTAGTACAGTTGGCATAGCATGGACTACACTATTATAGAAGACTCCTCTCTCCTTCTTACAGAAGCTATCATTTGTTAATGATTCCTCAACTATGGGAAGCAATTTCATACCAAACAGCTTTCTCCATGCTGGGATTTGGTTTGGATTGAACCTGAATAGGTTTTGCACATGCTGTTGTGACCAGTGAGAGTTTACATATATGACTGTCCTTCTGCGTCTAGAAGACAGTGTTTCCTTATAACATCTCTGGCATGTGTGCTCATCCATTTCTTCCACAAAGATTCCTAATCTTTGGGAGGAGGGGAATAGTTTGGACTTCTCATTTAAGACTGAACATTCCTCAGTCTCTTATTTTCTACACTGTGACCACTTGAGGGTCTATATGTTAATCATCATCTATTGCAAATATAGGCTTCTTTCCTGAGGCTTGAGATAAGCATAATTTATGATTATAGATATAGTTCATCAAGAGTTAGTTTAGTATTGTGGCATTATCAGAATAATGACAGTAAGTTTTCTTCTAGGAAATGTGGACTATGTAGCCTAAAGTACACACACACACACACACACACACACACACACACACACACACACACACACACAACATCCAAAATGAGTTATAACAAGATAGAATAAATACTCCCAATACACCTATAAACACCCAATAAGATAGAAGCAGTAATTAAAATCTCCCAGTTAAAATAGAAATCTCAGGCCCAGACAAATTCATCTAGAATCTCATCAGGCTTCCAAAAAAGAACTAATATATTTATGACTATCTCTCAAGCTGTTTTAGAAACTAGGAAAGGAAGAAACATTTTCAAATTTCCTTTTTGAAAACTGTGTTACAGTGTTAACCATACCAGACACAGATACAACAAAACAAAGGATGGAAGGGAGAGGGAACTGGGGTTGATGTGCAAAATAAGATTGTTTCTAAGTTAAATTATAAAAAGAAAATATTTTAAGTTAATATTTTTGATGAACATAGG